TCTCCAACGTGCGGACGGAACCCTGTTGCCAATGACCTCAGCCCTGTTATTACAGTAACACACGGCCAACCACGCAGCCCAGGGCTTGCAGCTGGTGGCACAGCAGTGCCACAGGGGTGGGTGGACAGAGCAAAGCAACAGAGCCTAGAAGGAAACAAAAAAAAACACAGCATCCAGCTGGGGCGCTTAAATGGAGACAGAGAATCAGGACAGCTCACTAGGAAGGGAGAAATACAGAAGTCAAGAGCAAGCAGAGATAGAACAAACACTAAAAGAAGTATTTGCTTAAAGTATTAGATAGAAAAAAATATAAAGTATTCTTAGATAAGTATTATAAAGTATGCTTAATTAGTGTGCACTGTACCGTGCAGAGAGCAAGAAGCAGAAGCTGAAGCGCTCTGAGCCTTGGCAGGGATAGCTGGACTTCACACCTGCACAGAAACTGGGAACACTGTAAGAAGGAAAAAAAAAAAAAAGCAAAACCTGAATTGTTCTTTGTACAGTTGGTTTGGAAAGAAGAAACACTACTGACCGCCCAGATGAAATCACCTGAGCATCTTTAACGCCCGTGAGGACAGCACGAGTGGAGCGACCTCCCCAGCGTCACCGAGCTCACGCCGGGGCAGAGCTATCAAGATGTTCAACCGACACGATAATAACGAAGGGCTCTGAGGTGCTACAGTGATGAAGGTGACACAGTTATGGAGTTGTACTGTGGAAGGCTGAAAATACCCCACTGTGTAGAGAAAGACGGATGTGCTCCTGACAATGTAGTATTACTTGCCTAAATCCTAACAGGAGGGAAAACGGGATGTCTGGGCCATGCCCTGCCCCACGGTGTGAACGGAATAGTGCCCCTGAGGTATCACCGGATGGGTCAAAGGACTTGCCCGTTCTAGGAGCAATTGCCCTCTGCAATCGTCTTTGCTCTCTACTGGGCTCCATCGCGCCCTCAGCTCACATTTGCAAAGCTGAACGACCTCCAGCCTTCCCTGAGTGTTTTGAGCCCAAATTCATGGCTCCTCCATGAACTACCGTTGCTTGCTGGGTCACTGCAACATCCAGACCAGGCACGTTCCTGGCCTCGCACCAACGTGAACATCCTTTGTCTGTGTACGGTTTTATCCACATTTCAGATGCTTGTTACTCTCCTTAGTCACTGCTGCAAAACAGGGAAGCCAAAAAATACTGGTTTGTGGATTTCTTGATGCCTTTTTCTACCTTTTAATACCTCTGAGACCTGCTTGCTCCCATCATCACCCCTTTTCGTCTCCATCTCTCCAGCAATAACACCCTGCCCACCAGCACGGGAAGCTCAGCGGCCGTTCAGACAAGCAGTGGGAGGCAAAGTCTGGCCCAAGTGAGAAGAGCTGGGTGATGGCTCGGCGTGCCGGAGAACAGGCACCAGCACCGACAGCAGCTCACGTGCTGCTCAGTCTGGCAGTGCCCCGTGGCAGAGGGCCCCGGAGCAGATGGGTGCTGGGTTTCTCTGAGTCACATCTGTCTCCTTTCTCCGGATGCGCAAACCTCTCCTCTGTTGCAAAGCTGCTTCTGAAGCTGAATTATTTCTCCTGAACCCAACTTGCAGAAATTGCACTCAACAGGAGACTCTCAATACACCTGCTGGAACACTAGTTCAGGGCACTTTCCCTTCGTAAGATCACCGTCCCCTCTGAAGCAGAAAGATTAAATTTCAACCAGCTCCATTTACAACCACAGACGGAGCCAAGACCAGGTCCAAAGAACCAGCAGAGAGCACAAAGGGCATCTGTCTCCACGGACTCACAAGGATCATTTCACAGCATTTCCTGGAGTATGCAGATCCCCTTTTTCCCAGCCCACTACGCAGCGTATGTTGTTCTGCCAACGTGGAAAAGGTGCAGCCACACAGACTGCACGTGCCCTTTCCCAGGTCAGTGCTGCAAGCCCCATACCCAAAAATTCCAGGAGCAGCGATGGAACCCTGCTAATCCTTTGTAAGGGTAAGGGAGACCCACAATTCCTGACTAAGTATCACAAAGCCACGCAAACGACAGCAAACAGTGGCACCCCCTGCCAAAAATATCTAGGTAACGTCTGTCTTTGAGCTCTTCACTTCAATTAGCTTCAGGGGATTTTTTTAATTTTGATTTTTTGGCTACGGCATAAAAGCCAAGAGCTGAAAAAAAAACGCTGATAACGCGGCTCTGCCGGGCACCC